GTGAACTCAAAGTCCCAAAGCNTGAGGGCCCTTGAGGGGGGGAGGAAAGCGTTGCATCTACTGCATTTACCGAAGCGCTAGTAGTAACGGGGGTTGAGCACCGTGAGTGGGCGGTCCGCTGCCGGTGGGGTTGTTAGTTTAGTCTGGGTGGATGTGGCCTTGTGCGGGGGGGACGATTAAAGAGATGGGAACCGCTCTCCAACGGGGCATATCAATAGTTGCTGTCTTAGCAGTGGAAGTAGTAGTAGTAGTGGGAGGAGAGTGAGGAGGAGGGAGCAGTGCCGCTGTTAATGGCAAGCACGATGTGTAATGGTTTTATAGAGTATCGCATACTTTTGCTTCCCGACGCGGCAGTCCTGACGCGGTACGTAAGCCGCTGAGCCAAGCCCTCAGCATTGCGCGGAGAGGTCCACCGCGCCTCTCAGTGCGGTGGAGGTGGCGGTGGTGGAGGACGGGGGCTCGGGGTTCCGATGACCAGCTGGCCCCTATCAGAGCGGCCTGAACCGCGCTTGGGCTGATTGGGATGTCGGTTATCATCGGAGTCTGGGGTTGCGGGCCGTTGTGTTGGTTTTGATATCGTTTGTTGCGTACCGCAGTGAACGTCCTGACCCGTCGTCCCTCCCCCACCGCCCACTACTGCCCCCACACACGCGCTCTTTGTCCCCCCCTTGCCCCTTGCGACCGGGGCCCTGGAGCCTGGTGCTGATAGGGGTGCCCATCTGCACCACACATAGAATATAAAGTTGCGATGTAAGGAATCATTAAAAGAAATCCTATCACTACAGGCCAGGAGAAGGGTATATTTGTTCGGAGTGGAAGATGGGGGGTTCTGTAGGTGCGTATGCATGAAAAGCGCATATGCATGGAAAGCACATGTCGTATACGTGATTCGGAAGAGCGAGCAAACCTACGCTGCGTATGAGGGTTGACGGCACAAGTTGTTTGCGCACCAAGTCTGACTTGCTGAGAGCACCCGGACAGTGAACCCCCAATCAAAGGATCCACAGTCCTCTCCGCGACAGCAGTGGTCACGTGGGACAGTGGTCACGATACCCATCTTTCCATATTTGTTGCGAAACCCCCCAAAAGGGTGATAGAATTCGAGCTCCCACCCCGCTTCCTTTTAAGGATTATCGTACACGACTGCATATTGGTCTCATATTGTTCTCATCATGCTGTCATGTTCTCATATTGTTCTCATATTTCCCATAGCCCATATAGCCCATACTCCCCGCGGTACACATCCGCGAGCCTTCAAAATCGGTGTGGGGTCGAATACGTTGAACTGTACTGCTCTGTGATGCAATGTGCAGCACTGTACTGTAGATGCGGTACGATATCCGCAATCTGTCGTTAAACGGCATCCTGCATGCTTACAAGACCCGTCCGGCAATACACGGGTTGGCTCAACTTTGGAGCAGCCCGCTAAGACACACCACCAACCCATCCTGCAGTGACATACCTACAAACCTACAAATGCACGTCGCCAAATCGAGCCCTGAAAAAGCCTACAGGCACTTCCGTACATTCCGTACTATCCACGTCACTAAATAATAGTCATATATATTAGTATCTACAACCAGTTATTTAATGATATAATAATAATAATAATAATTGATAATACAAGCTAAATAAACAGCAAAATTGCACATAGGTCAAATACGCATTCTTATGACAGGCCACAGCACCTCGCACGCACGCAGTAGTAATTTAGTGCTACTACAAAGTGCAGAAAATCCCTCAACAACCTCCGAAGCGCTCCCCGTTTTTTACTTTCCCAGCGCTGAATCCACGCGTCAAACGTATAGTAGCCTTATTACACGCACACGCACACGTCTGCTCAGACACATTCCTCTCCAGCGCATTCGGTCACACCTCACATACACGTCCTGAAGATGGTGATTTGGTTCAGCAGAGGATGTCGTAATCTGATGTCGTACCGTCGTACAGCGCCAAAAGCCTTCCATTAACTTCACGTGCAGCTCCCCGTCAGCACTTGAAACTCCAAATTGCTTCGAGGGTCAGACACGTCAGCCTACAGCCCAGCACACAGGCGCGCTCCACCCCGCTCCGAAACCACCACCACCACCACCAGTAGTCCACGTCCACCGATTGATCTCCAAACCCAAATCCGTACATTGCTCGCCACGCCACGAAGAAAATTATTGTACGGCATTATTACTTTTTCGCCTGACTAGCATCGACTGGCAAAGCACCTGTCCCTGATCCAATCGGCGCTACGACCGCCCTGTAGCCCCCGAATGCGCAACCTCCAACCTCCAACCTCCCCAGCAGAGCGGAGCAGAGCAAGGCGGGAAGTAGGGTAGGGAGGTGCATTGATGGTGCATAAAGAAAGGAACACACACCACTTAGAGACAAGAGCCCCCCGCCCCCGCTGACAACAAAAATCGGCCGCAAGCGACCAAACGGGGACAGAGCTCAGCTCGGCAAAACCCTCCGCGCGCAGGCAACCCTTGGTACAAAAATAACTCGCAAACTTGCTTGAGTTAGTGAAGCTAATGATATAGCGATACGAGTACCTACGATAATACGACGACGTGGTACGACGAAAATTTACGGCACCATCCCCAAGTCGCCCCGAAAGAGCACCAGAGCCCTCCTGGAGCTGGTGGTGGCGCGCACAGTCCGAGTTGACCTAATCTTCCAAGCAGCAGCTGCCCACAGCCAGCCGTGGCCCCCCCGCAGAGCCCACCCGAGCAAAGCCCCCAAACCCCCACACAGCGGGAAAAGGCGCAAGGACGCCAAAGTGCCCGCCCGCCCAGGTAGCAAGGTAGCACCACCGCAAGGTAGCACACTGTACGGTAAAGTACGGCACTGCAGGTTTCACTGAAAGGAAAAGGTATTTTTATAAATGTGTATACTTACGTACATTTTGTTGTTACCTTTAAAATTTGAGTCCCCGGTTCCCTGCCCGGTGGGTTTGCCCGTCTGCCCCCCTCCCACCCTTGGATTTCCCACAACCACACCAACGGAGAGAAAGGAAGGCCGTCTATGATTGTCGTACGCATTGCCGTACAACCTAGGACCCGACCAGTGGCCCTTGCGCGTTCGCGTTTTAAATTTATGGCGGTGTCCATCCGCCATAGCGTCCCCCACCTCCTTTGTCGCGGGCGGCTCCCCGGTCGAGCCCCCCCTTCCCCCACCCGGCCCCCCGTGCGACTGACAGGACGGAGGACAGCGCCGCTCACCCTGCTTAGCTCAGTTCGGCATCACATATCTAGCGGCAGCAGCAGCAGCAGCAGCAGCAGTTGCGGCAGTTGCGGCAGCAGCAGCAGTTGCGGCAGCTATAGCAAGAGCTGCAGCTGCAACACAGAAAGGCGGCACTGAAGATTAGGAGGAGACACTTCGCACTCAACACACTTCCTTCAAAGACAATCGCTCACTCAGTCACTCACTCGGGCGCTCGGGCACAATCAAAAGTGTTTTATAAACCCGCATCGAGTCGTTGACAACAGCAACCGAGGCAACCGACAACCAATCCACAGCCAATCAAGGAAACGACGCAGTGCTTTCCCTTTGCTCTGTGTGTGCAAGTGTTCTTTCTCCCACACTAACACTCTGCATCAAAAACCACCAACTGCCAACCGTCAACGACCGATGAATGTCTCCCAAGTGATATGCAACGGAAGAGAAACAGCCACCCTACAGGTACGGCAGGTGACGGCAGTAGCGGGGACGCCACGGAAAGAACAGGATGAGGACACACATACATACATGCGCACACACACACAACAGAGACATGATGTAAGCGAGAGCCAAAAGCCTCCACCACAAGCAAAATGAAGACGACAGAAGCAACAACATGAGAAGTCGATGAATTCCACCGTACTGCTGGCCCAACATCATCATCATCATCATCGCCACCGAAGTGCATTTCCGCAGCAGTACCATGCCACCATGCGGTATGTCCCAACCCCGGTACGGCCCCTGTACGGCAGCCCACATTCGCTTCATTTCGCAACATTAGAGGGTACCCAAAAAGTACCTTGTACGACCCCGGCCCCGGCCCTCGCCGTCGCCACGGCAGCCGCTGGTTATTACCCCCCCACCCCCCCCATACACACAGACACACACAGACACCATCGCAATCATTAATAGCATTCACACCCGTCAGCTCATCCTCGCATTTCTGCAGCTGCAGCAACAAACGCCCGAGGAACACATATCAGACTTTGCTGCTTACTGCTGCTACTTGGTTAATCGTTCGAAGCAATAATACACACACATACATACATATATGCATACATGCATGCAACAGAGAGAGAAAAAGCCCAAGACGCGAAAAAAGTAACCACCGCGACGCCGTACACAACAGAGCACCTCGCAACCCAGCGACCATGCCCAAAAACCACGCGCCACATCACTTTCGATTGCCCAACCGACTCACTTTCTATTTGTACGACATGCGGCATTCCAATGTCTCAATATGACCATTTGATTGATGCTCTTTTGAGTTTGATCCACATGATGACCGCATTACGAATCCATTTCGATGCAAATGAATCCGTTGGGAGGTCTGTTAGGAGACATACAGACACACACACATACAGGACGCATAACCCGACACGCGCAAAACGGCAAAGGGTGTGTGTGTGTGTGGGGGGGGGGGAGCCCGACAAGAACAGAAAACGACTTCAACAAAACAAAGGTACACCATACTGCTGCCCATTTAAAAGAGTACGGCACAGACAACAAAGCACATAACAGACATACGTGCAGACAGCGTAGCGGGCAGCGCCTGAAAGCAAAAGGCAATAGCAATAGCAGTAGCAGCAGCAGCAGCAGTAGCAGTAGCAGCAGCAGCAGGAGCGTACAACGCTTCCCCTTAAAGCAGAGCCTCAAACAGCGACTCGCCTCACACCTCCCTTAACGACTCCCCAAGACAAGCCAGGGTCTCGCATGCCCTGGCCGAGACAGCACACATACTGGCTGTTGGAGATGTACGTGGGCGACACAGTCGACTTGAATTCCACAAACACACAAACCCCTTTCTCTTCACCCCAATGCCCAACTCCCCCGGGGCCATAAAACCCCCCCAACCCCCGAGGAAAGGAATCCAAATACACATACACACACATACACACACATACACACACATACACACACATACACACACATACACACACATACACACACATACACACACATACACACACATACACACACACATACACACACATACACACACACAGACACACACACACACACGCACATAGAGAGACACGGGCGCGCGCACACCGCTTTCCATCCAGTCCCACACGCAGCTGAGCTCCACACACACACGCGGCAAGCAACCCCCCTTCCTGACCCCGGGGATCTTAGGCAGGAGCTAAGGACTGCTCCAGGCAGGCTGAGCCACCCTGGGTAACGCCAGTCGCCACTGCCAGAGGCAGCAGCGGCGGCGGTGCCGCCGCCGCTGCCGCCGCCGCCGCCGCCTCGCGACAGCTCGTCGTCAGGTGGCTGTCGTGGTACGGCTAGCAAAGGCCGCTGACAGGCCCGCCGTCACAGTAGCCATGGCGGCGGCGGCGGCGGTGGCGGCGGTGGCGGGTCTACTGCTGCTGATGAGGGCGGGGGGCCCCATAAGCCCCACGGAGGCGGACATGCTGTTGGTGCTCGTACACCTCCGAAACATAAAAGAATGGGGCAGGGAAACCCCCGGGGTGTTGTGACCGCTTCTGGAGCTACAGCCTCCGCCGCCGCCGTCGCGTGACGACTCGAGCGAGCTCTCGAGGGACAGCTCAGCGCCTAGAGATGGCTCAGCGCCGTCGCCTCCGCCGGGAGGCAGACGTGGCGCCGCTGCCGCTACTGCCGCCCAAGCGGCGACTGCGGCACCGCCGCCACTGTAGTCACCGTCCTGCCGCCGCCGCTGCATGTGCAGCGAAGCTGCTGCTGAAGCAGCAGCCGCGGTGGCGGCTGTTGTCGTCGTGCTCGCCGCCATGCCGCCTGCCAGCGAAACGCGCGGGGTGACGGCGGTGCTGCTCCGAGCGGACATGGATCCGGATCCGGATTTGGTCCCAACGGTAAATCGGGTGGCGGTTGTGCCCGTTGATGTGTTGACGACGGCGCCTGGAACTAGGAGCCTGGACTGCTTGGGCTGCCATTTCGAGATCATGGCGGAAGATTCTCTCCAGGGAGGAATGATCATGCCTTTGGACCGCAGAGCCAGAGCCATCTCGTCACACATTACCTGGACGGCAGAAGGCAAAATTGGATGGAGGACCGGATGGAGAAACGAAGGCGCCCAAAACGTAAAAAAGTTAAACTCAAGCCTTTGTTTCGTTTGTCACGCAATGTATTTTACAATATAGCTTTTTACATATGCCGCCTTTCTCTCTGACTAGAGACTGAAGACTCTTCGCGATTTCCTACCATTTATTTGCCGTACGGCAATGCGCCACCATGTGTGCTAATGTAATGCATGCATGTGACCTATCGCCAGTACATACGAGGACATACGTTGCTCGTGCACACGTACAGCAAGTGTACGGCATACGTCAAGTGTTGGTCATGGCACGTGAGGGGCTTCCTACGCGCGTTGATGAAAGCTTGGCTTGGCTCGGCTCGCCGCTTACTGATGTGGATTCGGATTGAGCATATTATGATATCTACCCGAATGGTGGATGATACTTGACGTGTGATGGTGATGTCGTTAAATTATTGCCCCCGGGTGAAAAATGCACGCAGTAGGCCGATTATTGTCCAGAATTTACCAGGATATAACAAAAAATGTTGTTGTTATTGTTATAACTTTCCACCTTTTTTAAAAAATATATTGGAAATATATTGGAAATACATATTTCCAATTGGAAATATATTTGTGGATTATTATGGAAATTGGAAAAATATATATTTGGGAAATATATTCGACGTTTTTCGCAAGCTCTTCCAAAACACGCGGCGCACGTGCGTACCTCAACCACGAGAGGAAGACGCTCCTCGGCGCCCACGTATACCCGCGGCAAGGCCGACACCAGGGACTCGTACCTCGCGGTTGGCATGGCCACCTCAAACTGCTCACGAAGTTCCGGATCCACAATAATAATGCCGGAATGGTACGGCAGCGGCGCCGCACCGGCTTGATCAACGCGGCTGCCGCGGCGCTGGCCGATGGAAGACCCACTGGCACTTCGCGCCAGCGACGCCGCCGCCACGGCGACGGCGGCGGGCGACGGCGGCCCGGACGGTACGACACCGGGGGCGAGCGGACAGGTCACGGACAGGAACCTGTGGCGCAGGTTACGCAGGCATTCCCCGCCTGCGCCTCCGCCGAGGGCTTGCGTCACTGCGACTCCGTAACCTCGGGACGTCAAGCCGTCGGCCAAGTACGACAACAGGTCGGACTCGGGCCCGCCATCGTTGGCAGCAGCGTCGCAGGCGCCGTCACCCAGCGACAGCAAAGCGCCGCCACCTCCGCAGCCGCTGCCGCCGGCGGTGAACGATTTCGGCGCTGCCGCCATCAGCTCCGCCACCGCTTCCGCCACCGCCTGCTCGGCCGCCAGCGCTGGTTGTACGAGCGTCTGTAGCAGTGCGCAGAGCTGCGAGATGTAGGTGGCATCGCTGGCGCCCGCGACGGCGGCCGAACCCACCGTACCATCCCACGTCACCGGCCGGTCGCCGCCGCCGCCAGCCACCGCCGCCGTACCGCCGATAGTGACCACGCTACCCCGCCGTGACGACGAACGCCTCATGTTACCCGCTAGTACGGAAGCTAGCTCGCGGAGCCCAACCGGCGAGGCTGCCGTACCGCGCAGCCCGACGCGGCGCAGCGCGCTACAGCCGCGCGCCGCCGCCGCCAGCGCCGCCACCCCCACATCGGTTAGAGCGGCGTTGCCCGCCAGCGTGAGGCTCGCCAGCTGCGGAACGTCCACGAGGACCGCCGCCAGCGCGGCGGCGCCGCCGTCACCGATGCTGTTGTACGACAGGTCTAGGACAAGCAGGTCGCGGCACGTGCGCAGTCCGTCGCATAGCGCGGAAATGCCTGATGCGGTTTTACGACACATATGTACGGCAGGAGAAGCCAAGTTAGGTTGGTTTGGTTCGGTGGACGGAGGAATGGAGACAGATTATATGGAGGACTGATAATCGTACAGTCGTACAAGCATACAATTATCACTACATCCATTTATGCACTTTTATCTGTCGTACGCACCTTCACACGCCACGCCACAGTACGACAACGTGATTGACTTGATGCCGGGACAAACCCGCAGGCAGCTGGCAACCGCCCGGCAGGCCGCCAGCCCCAACGGCCGCTTGCACAAAAACACGTGGCGCTCGGGACTGGAGTCTTGCAGTACTTGCTGGAGGTAACGGTCAACCGCCGCAACGCCTGATGGCTCCAGGGAGGACACCGCTGACGCCGGAAGTACGGCCGCAAAAGCGCCGTCGGCCTCCCGGCCATCGGCGCCGCCAACGGCAGAGCTAGTGTGGAGCGCCTGCGATGTACGAAGAGATCGCGACGTCTGTCTGCTTCACGTACAAATCCACGACAGTAGCATTCACCACAGCTTCCCCTAAAGTACGACAACTCTTATCGTACATGCGCACATTCATTCGCGTTTTCCAACCGGCACCCAGTGCGCGAGCAACCGACCAACGACCAACGAATAACTTCCCAACCCCCAAAAAACAACTTCCCGATCGCTTTTGGATCCGTCTCGCAAAACACACAAGCACACAAGCACGCATATACATACATACATATGTCTACACATACAGAGAGAAGAACGACGGACAGCCCCGACATCTCCGCAACACCCCCGAAGTCACTCTCACCTAACCGCCTGACCGCGTCTGGCGGCAACTACTGCAACCCCTCTTACCGTGTCGTACTCTGAAGGCGGCGGCAGCTTCTGAGTGTACGGCAGGTCGAGCGGCTGATCCATCCTCAATAGCGCCCGAATCGCGGCATTAACGATGTCAGCACCGCCAGCACCAGCACCAGCACCAGCACCAGCACCAGCAGCGGCGGCGGCGGCGGCGGCGGCGGCGGCCTGGTACCCATCCTGATCAGCTGCACAGACGCTGATGTCCGGCAGGACGTCGTACAGCTGAGGCGGCGGGAAGACTGACATACAGGCGATGCTGCCGCTACCTTGCGCATCGGTGCGCAGCTGCTCGCCCGCCTTTGCCGCCGCCCAAGCTGTACGAACATCCGAGTGGGACAGCGACGCGTTCTGGCTGAACGCCTGGCGGCGCCGGCCGCCGCCGCCGCCGCTGTCGCGGCATCGCCGTCGGTGGTACGGCTGGAGGGAGCTGTCGCTGCCGCTGCCGCAACGGCACCGTCCTGACCTTGCGCAGGAAGTACGGAGGATGATGTGGACGAGCAGGAGCTGCCGCCAACCGCGCCCCTCGTAGTACGGCCCTCTAAGGGATCAGCGCCGTTACCGGCGACCCAGTCGTACACCTGTGCGTGATGATCCGCCTGTTGACACTGCTGCTGCTGCTGCTGGGGGCATGAATGAGGTGTTGACGCGGCGGCGGAGGAAGCCAACGGAGCCGTATCGGCGACGACGGTGTGACGGAGGCCGTTGGCGCAGCCGTCCTGCGACGCGATCTGCCGTACTAGGTCACCCGCCGCCGCTGCCGTGCAATCTACGACGCCGCGCGGTCTGGCACCGACGTGGCAAGTAGTTGATACGGCAGAGGCCGATGCGCTGGTTCCACTAGGTAACCGATTGTAACCGTCAACCGACATCATAACTCCGCCATGATTGACAGCCCCCGGCTTCAACATCAACGCCTCCATCGCGACGACCCCACGACTCAAGCGCGTCCCGCTGCGCTCCACATCAGCATTGGCGGCGGCTACCGCCGCCGCTGCGGCGTCGCCGCTGCACCGAAGGGCCTCAGTCAGCGTCGCGCTGACGGTCGCGTTGCCGCCACCACCGCCGGTGGTGACGGCGCTAGCAGAGGCGGCATCTCCTCTTCCTGCTCCTCCTTCTCCTCTCCCTCCTCCAGCGCCGCCGCGGCCGCCGGTCGCGACGCACGAGGCGCCGCTGCTGCAGGCGCTACTGTCGACCCTGTCCGGCAGTTTGCTATAGCCTGACATCAGACAGCATGCCAGCGCTGCTGGTCCGGACAGGAAGGGGCTGGAGGTGAAGGCCGCACACTGGGGTCCCCCTCCCAAGCCAAAGTCCCCTTCAAATAGCTCCGTTTCTATGGACTCCATAATTGCATCGTCCACATCGGCGCTTGTAGCCGTGACAGGTGAGCCGATGCTGGCAATGGACAGACGCTCGGGAATGAGCGCGATACCGCTGCTGGTGAAAACTGGGGGAAGGTAGGGGCCCGTCTCGGTTTTTGTGCCCGTACTCGCCGTACAGTCGCTGGCCGTCCCGGCTGCCGACGCCGTGGGGAGGTGGTGGGACGGGTAGATGGGCGCGGCCAGCGCCAGACGCGGGTAGGCTGAAGCGATGTGCATGATTTATATCAGAGATGTGGTTCCGATTGGTTTAAGCTAAGCGGTAGGTCAAATGACAGTGCGTTGCTAGTGGCGAATTCAACCCAAGCTGGCACTGAGAGAGCGGCCGCCGGCTCAGGCGGCTGAAATCTGCGAATTGACAGAAAACGGATGCAACCGACAGCCCGCAGCCTGGACTACGTAAATGCATTTAAATAATTGTCCATGAAGTGACAGGAGACGGCTTTGGCGCGTTTGTCTGCCGTCGGCAACAGTCGGCAGCAGTCGTCGTCGGGCGATTATACGTCGTCGTCGGGCTGTCCGTCGATTTCTGCAAATTTTGCAGCACAACAGCAAAGGGTCGGAAAATGTTGCAAAAGTAATTTCAGGCCATAGGCCTACAGGCCTAAGACGAATGCACCGCCTGAAGCAAATCCGGAGGCTTACAGTGCCATAGCGCAAAGTCAGGCAGCCTCAAGAATCGCCATGCGCAACAGATTCTAGCAGCTGTTCGATAACGCAGAAACGTTAGTAAGTACATCCGTTAGAAGCACAGGTGGAGTCCCCGTGGCGCACCCCGTGGCGGCCTCCCAACCCACTCTAATGCCCAGCACCGTTCGCACAACTTTGAGCATAACTTATGGAAATGCACATTTGTCAATCAAATTAGGGACGATCGGCAACGTCGCGACTTCCTAACTATACAGCCGCCTCAAGCAGCCTTGCATTCCCAAAGGTACGCACAGATAGATATACCAAATTTTTGATCTTACCAGGGTTGCATGTAATAAGCAGCTCCTTCCAGAATGACTCCAAGGGGCGTGATAAAAGGGTGACCCTTTAGTAGGATAAGGCCGCCTTAAGCTATACACTTTTTGATAAGCATGCAAGGGACAGTGGTCCGTAAACCTGTGAAACGGTTAGTGAGATGTAAGGATTGAGGGGGAAAATTGTTTTACCAACGGTTTTGGTTCACGTGCATCCTTCTATGGTTGACCGCACTACGCCCGTACACGAAGGACTGGCTGTGAGATGCGTCCGTACCATTCCAAAGCCTAACATACATCCACGTTGCAAGCCCGGGGAAAGCTTTCACGCGTTAGCATCGATACAGTATGTTTCAAGGAGTTGGAAATTATTTGACACTGGACAACCCTAGGGACGAGAACCTGCGGCACTGACCTTTCCATGATGAAAGGAAGAATATTTTTTGCTTTAATTCGTAAACCAAAAGCTGTGCGAAAGCTGCTTGCCAGGTTGCAACGTTTCAATCTTCGACCAGATCTTGGGCAGGTCGCTGGTTTGTTGCCCTAACTCCATGAGAGCTTCTTCTGTTCACGTCACTGTACAAATGGTTTGCTTATGATGCCGAAGTGTTGTTATCCTGTTGCATCGGTGCTCGGACTTGTCGGGACCGATGCCAGAAATAGCCGATCGCACACGACGCATCAACAGGAAATATATTGACTTTAACCCGAACCTGGCAGGTTCTATTGGCTGGTAAAGTGGTGGGAGTGACCCTTTGCAGACCCTAGTGCTGTTGGCCATCGCTGTAACTCTGCAAACTATGTTGTGGATCGGTCTAATTTCATTGTTCTACAACAGCATAGTTAACAGGTAGTGGGGTACAAGGCTTCAGCTCTCAAATCCTTACCCTGGGCGGGTCGTTGGCCCCTGGGAGGAAATCGCTTTTGGGACCTCGGTCCGGCTCCCCCGGTGCTTCCGGCGCATCCGCAACTGAGCGAGCCTCTTCCCCCCTTTGAGCTCTTTACCCCGACCACCTGTCGCGCTCGCGTTAGCTGCCCCTCAGACTTCTTCAGGACTGTTTCCTCTATTAGCTTCCTCCCCCACGTCCCGTTGCCGTATTTACATGACACCTCGTGTCTCAAAACAATTATGTGTCATGAGCCAGTACCTCTCTTTCATAAAATGCAAGCCTCCATGTCGGCCCATCGCGCACCCTCGGAACCCCCATCGCGGAAGCCAGCACACGGCTCCACCGCGCATTTACACACGGCATTTTGCTGGCATCCCTCAACTATTTCGCACCTTCCCCCGCCCAAACATCCGGGCTGGCTTTCTTACCCAGGGAAGCCTTGAGCAGCTTACATGGAAAATGACTGCTAGGATGCGAACAGCCCGACCTGGGAGCGGGGTTTTGGGGAAGGGGAAGCGCGGACGCACGCGTCGCTTTCGAGACGTAGCGCCCCAACGCTGCTAAGTTCAGGCTTCTGTATATTAAGACAACTGTTTGACTTTCAGCCATGCGCGACGTGGTGCAGGAGGAAAAAAGCGGTGACTGAAACATCTACGCAGGTCGCTTCCGCCCCCACTGCATAATTCCCAGTCCCCAAGTCCAGGCTTCATCTCCAGCACTCCTTACGTTACTTCCTGTCAAAAACAGGCAAGACAAGATAGACGCGCCTCGACCCTTCGCTGCCATGCCGTGACATGTCATGCTATGCCGCATCATCCTAAATCGCCCAGCTAAGCTGAGCGATTGGAGAAGGTAATGCATCACATATCGCATAGTACAATTGAAGGTTTGGAAAGATTTAATGGCCTCCTGCCCTGCAACGCTTGCAGTTCATTCGTGCACGTACGAGCGCGTTAGTTACCAAAAAATGATAAACAAACAGTGTTAATGAAAATAGCTTCAATCTTCTTGTATGCCCATGTCAACTATGTAGCAGGACTTTTCGACGGTTTGCTTCTTCAAAACAGGAGTGTGCAGCCTTCACAACCCACACAGGCAGGGTCCTGTGTATCATAAGATCTATATTACTCGCAGCAACAAAGCTGCACAGCGGCGATTACGCCGTTTTGAACAGATTCAAATGCTCGCATCACAAACGGCTGTCGGAACTAGCGGGAAACCAGCGACCGCGGGCCAAATCTCCTTTGAAAGCTTCACAAAACTAGTGGAAACACTGGCGAGGACTCCGCAAAAGAATGGAAAAAAGGTGAAATTCGTTTTCCGGTCGGTTTCAAGGGCGCTGCAGGGCTTCGAAATGTAGGATTCCGGCGGGACAGCCAGGGACCAGGGTTTATTGCGCTATCATCTTCCCTGCAACATCACCATAGCATTCACAAATCCTTGCTTAAACAAACCAAAAAAATCCCATCAGCCTCTGGAAGAGTGTTTGAATACTGTTTCAGTGGATCCGAACAGATCACCCGTAGTGCACCCATATACTTGCTCTCGTACGCACTCTTTCTTGTCAGTCAGTATGTATGTAGGACGTCAGTGTGCGCTAGTGCGTTACCTTGGGTAAGGGCTGCCCGACAAAACCCAATCCAACTCTCCTAGTTTAGTTTGAATTCCCATTCCAAAGCCGCTGGCCTATGTTCCGAAACACCGCGCTCTAGGACGAGTGCCCCACAAGTCCAACCCCCCTGTCCCGACCATCCGATCATCCGTCTTAATCCGTGTGTGTGTGTGTTTTGTCCGTGCGTATGTCCGCGGCCTTCAGATCAAGGTTCTCCGGCGCTTTGTCGAGCAGCACGTACCTCGTCGCGATGGCAACGACTTGTTCCACTTTTACCGCTTGTTGCTACCGGTGGGGCGGGAGGGGAAAGGGGAAGGGGGAGAGGAGGGGGAAGGGGAAGGGGGAGAGGAGGGGGAAGGGGAGGGGGAAGGGGAGGGGGGAGAGGAGGGGGAAGGGGAGGGGGGAGAGGAGGAGTTGGAATGACAGCGGGACGAGGAGGGGGAGGAGGAGGGGGAGGCACGAGGGGGGGGGAGACCCACCAGGTGTATGTGTATGTATGTCTGGGGAGGTCATGCTGGTGACATGAAAGAACGATCGGAGGGGTCTTAGGATAGCGGAGTGTAGGGTACTGGTCAAACTCCCCTTTACCAGCTCCTAGGTAATTCACTTGGGTCGCCTATCATCCCACTTCACCTCGTCTCCAAGAGGAAACCACAACACACATACTCACATATATACTCACATACATACACGCGCC